AGGGTTTTTTTTTTGTTACCTCTCCTCCTCTCTCTCTCTCTCTCTTCTTCCTTCAACCTTTTCTGTTTTTATATATCAGAGAGGGTTGTATATATATATATAAACGGCCCCACCCCCCTACTTCTGGGCTGTTTGTTTTGTTTTGGTTCCCTCGCCTACCTGGTCTGCTTTTGTTGCTTCGTGGTCCAGTCGCGTTCGCGGAAATATGGCGGAGAAGAACGAGGATGTTATTGCACCGGCGCCGAGCCATAGCTCTGGAAGTATCGGTGAGACCAAGTCTGACCTTGAGAATGACAATGAGGTGTTTAAGAAGGGGGAGGGGTATGAGGATTTCCGTACCGTGGGATGGGTTCAAACGACTATGATTCTGTTGAAGAGTAAGATTTGAAACTTTTTTTTGGGGGGGGGAGGTTGTTATGAATGTCAACATTTTTTTTTCGCGCAATTGCTGACTTGTGCAACTTTAGTCATCTTCGCAACGGGTGTGCTTACTATTCCCTCGGCCATGTATACCCTTGGTGCTTTGCCGGGTGCTATCAATGTCATTGGCTGGCAAGCTGTCAATACGTGGGCTGCGTTGGTACTGGGACAGTTTCGCATGCGGCACCCGGGATGCCATTCCATTGCTGATATGGGTCTGCTTGTTGGCGGACCTATCGTCAAGGAAATCACCGGTGTTCTTTTCCTGGTCGCCTTCGTTATTGTGGCGGCATCGGGTATCGTGGGTGTATCGACTGCACTCAATGCGCTCTCCAACCACTCGCTGTGCACAAACTACTTTTCGCTCATTGCAACGCTTATGGTCGGCCTTTGTGCAAGCGTGAGAAAGTTTGAGAAGATTGCTTGGATCACCTGGGCTGGTTTTGTTTCAGTCTTCATTGCCGTCTTCATCGTTGTGTAAGTTCTTTTCCATCTTTGATCTGCTCAGCTCGGCGCGTGCTAGCAGAGAATCTTATTTCTCTCTTTTTTTTGCAATTGGCTTACACAAACGTCAGCGTTGGAGTAACAACCCGCGATCGCCCTGCTGCAGCACCTCAAACCGGTCCTTATGATTTCGGATACCATGTTATCGGCCATCCAACATTTGCAGCTGGCATCACAGCTTCAAGTACGATTTTCTGCTCTTCAGCCGCCACCTCTGCTTTCCTCCCCGTCATGTCAGAAATGCGCAATCCCCGCCACTTTGGCAGGTCGGTAATGACATGCATGACCTTTGTCGGTGCCGCCTATCTGTCTTTCAGTCTGGTTGTATACAAATGGTGTGGTAAATGGGTTGCTTCGCCGTCCCTGGGAAGTGCTGGACCTACCATCAAAAAGGTAGCATACGGAATCGGTATCATTGGACTGCTTGTCAGTGGTGCCCTCTACGTCCACATTGGTGCCAAGTACATTTTCGTCAGGATCCTGCGTAAGTCCAGACATCTGCAGTCCAACACGTTTGTCCATTGGGGTACGTGGTTTGGATGCGTTGGCGGCATGACCATTGTCAGCTTTCTGATCGCCTCGGGAGTGCCAATCTTCAACTACCTACTCAGTCTTGCTGGAAGTCTTGCGTTTGCTCCCCTAGGAATTGGTTATCCGGGCTGGTTGTGGATCTACGACCACCGCGACCACTGGAGAGGGTCATTTCCACAAAAGATGATGTACTTGTTGCACGTTGCGTTTATCGGTCTCTCTGCATTCCTGACTGTTGGAGGCACATATGGTGTGATTGTTCAGATCAAGGATGCCTACAAAGATGGTTCGATTGATTCTGCGTTTTCGTGCGCAGATAACAGCAATTCGTCCTAGTTACGTTTAGATGCTTTAATGGTTACGTCCACAGGAACGCTTATTTAATGTCTTCGCTCTGGGAGCTTTGTTCCATCAATTCAATTCTTGATTGATATGACATGTTGTGTAGGATAGTAGTTGTACGTGACTCTGGCAAAATGAGCTTCTTATCAAGTGTCTAACCAAGTTTGTAAGGAACCAATAAATGAATCTGATGGACCTGAAAGGAGTATTGGTCTTATCTCAAGTTTCATTGGACAGGTGATTTAGTGTGGGGACTTGGATTAATCGTTACCCTAAAGTGCATATTTTCAAGGATACATTGCTGCATGACAGTCTGCCAAATTTATTCATGTAACCGCATAAGCAACACGGCTCCACCATGGGCTAAACAGCCTATCAACACTGAAAGATTAGACACGCACCAATTTGAGTTCATGGACCACGCACAGTTTCCATAACTCTGGGTCACTACCATGACTTCTCAATAGCATACGCACGTACGCGCCTGTATCCCTTCCGTATCCAACAGGTGAGAATTCTTTTGCCTGAAAGACGGTAATACGGAAGAATTGTCGGCACTGACGCTCATTTCGTAACCATGACTACCCACCGCATGGCTACCCACTGCTTAGCTTGTTGTCCGGTAATGTACGTACAAGGTATTGCAGACACTGTGTTATACAAAGCCGTGGTTGAATATTCCCGGATGGCGTGAGGAAGAAAATTCTGCGTGATATCATGCCAGATGAGGTTGGGTAAAGTGGGTCAAGGAAATGAGACTGCTTGTAGCTGGTAGTGCACGAACTACAGGATTGCGAACATGGGCTCCGTGGGATCATAAACACGGGAATCTAAAAAAATGCGGCTATGGTAGCTTGAACTGGTAGCATGTATGAGCGGATAATCGGCAGCGTCGATCCAGGATCATCCTCCCGGCTTTAATGCCTTGGTACAGTAGAGTGATGACTTACAAGTCATGTCTATGTAGTGTATGTAGGCACGTGCTTAATGTCCTATCTGAAAGCCTCCAAGGGGGCATACCGACGGGCGAAGCCCAGGGCCTACAGTGATGCAAGCCACGTCTAATGTCTAACGACACACAGTGGACTACCTGAGCATCCGCCAATACCAAAGTTCCTTTCGGGTGTCATGTATGACTGCACTTTACATATGGACCTCAAGTCATCTAGCCTCTTGTTAGCAACCCCCTGCAGAGAGAGACACCGCAGCAGTATCTGCATCATCTCGTCACGTGCTGCCTCCTCGCTCTGCTGTTTCGTATCCGACGTGACCTGATACACATACGACACATACGATGCAATATACAGAGAGACAAGAGTGACAATGACTGGCTCACAGGAAGGGAAGCTGGTATGAAGATGAAATGTTGCTTTTTGAGGGTTGCGTTGTATGCGCCTTATGTCCTCTTGTATACATTCTGTCATACTCGTGGTACGGGTCGATGCAACGAATTTGGAATCACAGACTGCCGTAGAGAAAAGTAAATCTTCATTTTGTTATGCTCAAGCGGATAGACATGGGTTGCTAGATAGGGGGTAACAACGTTGAGAAGGCTGGATGAAGCTTGTTCACATTTTCTCAAAGTATACGATAGGTGGTACGCAGGGAATGCTTCAAAGTGCCCCCCCCCCCCCAATATGTGCTGTTGGCTGTGATCGGGAGTAAGTTAAATTGCGACTTGAGTATGTAAATTTTGGGCATTCTACGGTATAGTACCGGGCAATCCATGCGGTTGCGTTCGCTAAATAAAACAGACTACCTTTCAGCCAGCTATCAAAATAATGTTGATGGCTGACCCCTGAAATCTGCTTCGGTTCTCAGCAGCCGCAGCGCCAGCATGGATGCATCCCAGGAGTTTTCCAACATTACCCGTAGCTTCATGTCCGTTCAGCTAAACAAGTGCCCAGGATCAGTGCCCATCCGCAGATTGCAGATGCGTTCCCTTGATGTCAACAGATCATGCTAAAGAGAAAAAGGTACTAATTGAAGCTTAATAGTGCTTGTCATTAATGGTCTTTGCCCAGTTGTACTTAGATTGAACTGGGCAGTGACAGGGACGCTATTAAATGCCGATCCTGCCTACGTACGCGAGACCAGCACTTCCTAGTATTGCTGCATCAGTGTGATATATATCAAGGTTTCCCGAAGCTTTGACGATGCACGCCTAACGCCTTGTCTTGGTATTACTACAAAGTTACTAAGAAGATCCCCCGGGGTTTCAGGTTATCGGCTGTAAGGGTATTTCTAGCATCGCAAATACGCATGACGATGTTCAGCTGCAGCATCCCTCTCATGTACCGGAGCAACCTTGTCCATCGGTTGTTCCTGGTTAGTTGGGTAGCATCAGGTGTCTAGGTATAGGCAGTGTACTTGAATCATTACACTGAGTGTAACTGTGACTAAACGCTGCTGAGTGAGTCATGTAGTATTAGAAAACGTGTTTCAAAAAAGACACCAGTTCTTTGAAGAAAATTGGTATCGACATGATGATTGCCAGCTTCATGCGACGGCCAAGCAAGTATCAACTGCACGAATACGAAAATAGAATAGAAGATTACCATGCAGCGCCTGGGGACGTTCAATACCGCGCCTCTATGATCCAGGAAGTAAAACGTCTAGGCGAAAAGGATCGTCTCTCGATTTAGGTTTCGGAGCGTATACCACTGCAAGCGAGAAAAAAAAACAATAATAATAATCAAAGTTTGGGGGCTTTTGTATGATCGCAAATCAAGTGAGACATGCTGGGACACTGGCGTGTCATCCTGCCTTCATTCTAGCCCTGGTTGGAATGTGGGGGCCGGCCTGAAGCGACGCAATAGGCTTTTCTCTTTTCCTTCAACAACCCCGCCAACCATGATCCCATCAGCTCTCTGCCACCTGCACAGCCTGGGCGCTCCACATGCGTATGCGCCTTGCAGCCCCTCGGAATACGCGCCCCTCTGCTCTGACCGGTGGCTGACGTTGGCCATGTTAAACTAAGTAGTAAGAATGTTTCCACTTCTTACTAGCCACATGCCTTAGTCACGCATCAACTGGGAAGAAACCTGTCAACCCCATCCACCACCACGATGGACACGCGTGGTGGAGAGGCTAGAGCGGAAGCAATGCGGTTACTGCCGCTTGGCTCGAATCCAGTTCGGTAACCGAGCATAGCTAGCAAGGAACTTGGATATTTGCGCATGCATAGTCTCTCAGCAGCTTCTATGCTTTTTTTTTTCTTACAAGACGCTCAATGTAGTCTCTGCATTGCTAGCTGGCAGTTGTTGACGTGTGACGAGTTTCAACCGACGCAATCGGGCCTTATCAGCCCTTCAGAAAGTATAGTAGTACTTTGTAGCTCAGCGTTAGTTCCTGTGGCCTCAGTTATGGCTGCAGCCATGCTTCTGTTCAGGTTCAAGGGCTAGGAATAAGCGATGCGGAAAGATTTGGCAATAGCATGAAATCTGTTAATCTTGTGGGACTTTATTATCGTTTAGTGCTTGTTCAGCTTGGTGCTGTGGTACTCTGGGTAAAACAACGTGTTGAGGACTGCCCTGATTAGCTTGCAGTTGGCTTTCTTCTCTTGGGATACTCTATATGGCTGTCGCTCCGAATGTGAACAACGCCAAGCAGCAAAGGAGGACTGGGTGTAGAAGAGATAAACGCAGCCGCCGAGGCAACTTAGACTGCAGATAGTTGGGAGGGGCTCGATATTGCCTATCCCCACACCGTGCTAGTAAGCCAACAACGCTATTGAGGAGCTTGTAACAAAGATATCCACAATTCTCAAATCATGTGTATTTTGGGTCGCATGTTGGGTCGCATTTGAGGTTTAATCGCCTGACTCTTTGAGACATGCCTAAGACATGTCTAAGTAGAAAACTTGAGGAATTACGTTCGCAGGACAGCAAGTATCGCCGACAAAAGCCCTCTTTGACAACACCCAAGCTATGTTGCGGCCCGAAGATCTTCGAGATATAGATGAAATGTAATAACAACTATAGAGCCGCCAAGCAACATGTACAGCAACAGGGACAAGGCCGAAAAGAAGGCCCTGTTGTCGAACTAAAGCTCTGAGGTCATGCCGCTCTGCAAGACTTTGCAATTTTGCACGGAAATAATTTTTTCGTGGATGTGGGGTGCTTGGGGGTTTAGAAGTGGGTGGGAAAGGCGCCGTAGGTGATCGATGCAACGGTTAGCTGGTTTTGTTAAGTAAATGTTCCTAGTAATTACCCGTCTCATTTGCCTGGTAGTAAACTGCCAACTCTATGCACCATGTCCTAGTATAGTTTATATGGGGCTTTGTGTAAGTATTATTTATAGGTGAGAGAATGAAAACCTAATCGCAATGCTATACACGACTTAATAGCATTTACTACATACTTGCATCTTCTCATGAAGGCAAGGAGACGGCTCGCAACCCATGCGCAGACTTGATGCGCTATAATTTTTGCTTGTATAGCTGTGCGTATAGCTCGTATCGTGTACGCAGTAGTTTATCGTGAAAATACTTTTCATCTTTTGTTGTTTAGCAGAGATACTCCAATAGGTATCTGCACTAGCGTTAAAAGCGTTTGGGAAAGTAATCGTAAGCTAAAATGACATTCAGTGTAACATCAGATGCACACTCACACACACGTTGCTCTTGCATGATGTCTTTGCAGGGTTGTATCACGACGTGGGTGCCATGCTACCGAGCCGTGCGCTCCTGAGAACTGAGTTGATGGTCACTTCGCCATGTGATTACACAGATGAAATTGTTTTGGTCAACCCGCCTCTACTTAGTCGCAGCGTCAGCTGCGCCGAAATAGTTCCTACCGGGAATGACCTATTACGAACCCTTGTACAGAGTGACAGTTTTCCTAGTTTCCTTGGGCCTCGAGGCGGGCGGTCCGCGCGCCTCGTGCCCCGCCTGAGGACCACTTGGCTAGGAATGACGAGCAAAGTCGATCACTGCAGTCTTAGAGCGGGATACAGTCGTCATTGCACATACATCGGTTTGCGATTATCGATTCAGTTCTGGGACCTGCGTTTACAGCTGAATCAGCGCGGTCAAACTTTGGTGGTGGGGGTAGGGAGAGAGGCTATCAAAACTATATTCTCACGCCACCCGTATCTGACTCTCGGCATCCTAGGCTCAAAATGCGGATCGACTTATGGACATGGTTGCAAACAAGTGGCTATCGGTAGAGACGTGAGCCCCCGACCAAACAAAGCCAATCATGGGCTGCAGATCAGCGGACAAAGGCCCTTTTCTGAGAGACTCACGTTTGAGACTACATCCCTGCCTCGAATAGGGCCAGGATATGGTCGGGGTACAGACTTTTGAATGACGCAAATCTACGGAAAACGAAGAAAAAGAAAGTGAGCGAGCTGGTAAGGCCGCGGTGCGAGTTTGTAAGCGAGGAGTGTAACCGGTCAACGACTATACAAGCTAAGGGTGTTGATGTTAAGGACGTGAGGCACCGAGGCATTTGTGTAACGTCATGGGGCTGCATATGCGCATCATACATGTATGTGAGTAAATAGAGCGAAGCACATGTGCAGAAGACGGGGAAAGGAACAGGCAGTCAATAGTAATAAGTAAGGCAAGGCAGGGCAAGGCTGACCCTAAGTAGGTACCCTGGGAAGAGGGTGGTTTAGGAGGGCATGTTCGGTGAAACTGCTCGGTGCAGACGGTATAACGTCGGAGATTTGCCAGGTTACGGGCGATCTCGAGGGTGGAAGGATGACAGTCAGAACGTGCTTGCCACGTGTGTATGGAGTAATGTGGTGGAGTCCTATTGGGAGAGCAGCTACGAGGTACGAGAGGGCGTCGCAGTCATGCCGTGTTGCAGAGATGAGGGGCTTGAAAGGAAAAGAGCTGTGTGGTCAGGCCTGACTCGAGGCCGTGTTCTGGGCTGTATGTGAGAGGCGCCACTTCGCTTGCTGTTGGGAACCCATGTTCATTGTGACCCGAATCGGAAGGCGACGTACACAATGGCTTGTTTCAGCGCTCGGTGTTGGGCCCGGGGCGGCATGGTGGATAGGAGAACGACTGCTAGCCTTGAGGGCGGAGCGCGAGTGTTTTCGGCAGCTCCGCAACCACCATGCGCACACACACACATAGCACACCCGTCCGTGTGGGTGTGCTATGTGTATGGATATGGGGAGAGCATGTTGGTAGCGGACACGTCGGTTGTCTGTCATCAGGCGTAGTGGTGAAACGACCAGAGGGCTCGAGGCCCGGCCCAGTCCCAGGGAAAGAGGGCAAGAGTGGCATTTCTTTTGCCATTCTAGTGCGCATGTTGTAGTGGATCCTGTGCCTCGTCCGTCAGCGCTGGCACACACCCCAGAAGCGGAGATACGAGTTGGTGCCAGGGGCGTTTGGAAGCGTGATTGGAGGTGGGAAACCTTGGGTGACAGGCATGCGGCGTGGTTAGCCGTGTTCCGCGTCGGCCCGCATGCTGTGCAACAAATCAGCGCCGTGCATCACAGGTCTAACCCTTCTTCGCATCCGTCCAGCGACAGCCCCATGTCGCATGGCCAGCAGGGTCAGAGCACCCTGAGTGCGGCCAGATGGGCGTTGAAGGTAAACTCAACGGGCATGGTGCATGACACTGCCCTGGCCCGGACCATGGCACTGGAAGCCGCCTTATTTGGCTTTATCTGCGTCAAGCCGCTCGCGCTGTGGGGGGCCTATAACTATACCCCCGGTTCCAGCTGCAACTGAACCCCTTCGCGACGACTCCGCTGAAAACCGCTCGTTATGCTGTGAGGACAGAAGCTGCCTTGTAGTCATCATGGCGGGCTCAATTACAAACAATCGCTTTGACATCATCAATGGAAAGCAACTGGCTTTGCTTATTGCACCCCTCCTCTGCTTTGTCGTAGCCTCGGCCGCTGTCGCCGCGAGATGGTACACCAGGAGCGTGAGAAGAATAAACACCCTGACCGAGGATGTTCTCATGCTGGCTGCTCTGGTAAGGCTGAATGCTTGGTTGGTTGGTTGATGTTGAATCACGCTAACATTCCAAAGGCTATGAGCTTCGTCGTAGTGACCATAGTTTACGTTTTGGTTTTTCTCGGTGGCGAGGGCTTGACAAGTGACCAGATCAAGGCGGATCCGACAAAAGATTTCGACGTCGTAAATCGCTTCTGGCTACGAGTATGTTTGAAGCCAAGTCATTGCAACTCACTCGTTGCTAACTCGCATCCAAGTTACAATTCGCACTCGACATTTGCTGGGCCACATCCATTGCCACTGTTCAAATCGCTTTCGCCAAGGCCTATCTCCGCCTGTATGAGAGAAAACGCATCGCTCAGACCGCTTGCTGGTGCTCCATAGGGCTGATCTCTATCTGGTACATCTGGTCGCTCGCCGGCTGGATCAGCATGTGCCACCCACCTGGAAAGTGTGAACTGCAGAGCAAAAAATCTTGTATTATCATCGGATCGCTCCATGTCTTCTTCAACAGCGTCATCCTATTTGCCCCGGTGCCCGCCATATTGGCAGCCGAGCTGTCGGCCAAGAAGAGGTGGTCGGTCATGATTCTGTTTCTCCTCGGATGCTTGTAAGTCAAAGCGTTCGACAGCCCAGCCCTCGCGTTATTAACAGTGTGCAGCTGCACAATCCTCGCCGTCCTGCGCATCGACTGCGCAATCAACGTGTTCGGCGACGTGGAAGAAGATCCCATTGGTGCGTCTTGGTGGCGCGTCTGCTTCTCGCCTATTGAAGTTGCTGTCGGAATTGTCTGTTGCTGTGTTCCTAATGTTCGTTCGCTGCCATCCTGGCGTAGGGCTTCTCCAATCGCGTCCAACGAAAGTCACGGTCTCCGCCGACTCAAGTTCCGGACGACAAGCAGTGGCTCTTCTACGTCGAATTTGAATGAACCTTCGCAATGGATGCCGCATGCCTCGAAACCACAAGCCGCGGCATTCGTCACTCTGACCAGCGATTCGGACACCCTTGAGCGGACCGGATCTCTAGGCGCGAACGAGATCAAAATCACCAAAGAGTACAATCTCGATCGGCTGTGATTGTAGAGTCATAATTATATCAAGATTATACAAACCCGAGCCTGATGTCTTTCGGTGTTGAGAAAAAAAAGAATAGATGTCTGTGGAGCACGTTGCTACTGGATGCAGAATGTCAACCTAATTGTCCGCAAGTGCCAACAACAGCGACGGCAGCTGCGGTCGGATCTACCCGTTACCAACGCGTGTGGATGACGTCACTGTCGTACTTGACCTTCAACCATGACTCTTGATCAACACCTCTTCGCATCACTACCTACCCAATCTGAGAAGCATACACCATGGCGCCCAGACCGAACGCTCGCATCACCACCCTTCTTCGTTACACATATCAAGCCAACATGGTCTTTTTCGCCGGATTTGCAACGTGGTACTTCTTAAAGAGTCCGGATCAGAAACTATCAGAAGATTCACCCCGACAGAGCAGCGCGGACGATCCAAGAACGAAGTCGTAATCTCGAAGGGGTAGGATGGTATGCAGGGAAGCATTCAGAAGAAATACGGATTCGCGAGACAGTGGTATAGAAGAGAAGGGCGTCAAGCCACAACCCCCTGCTGTGCTGGGGGTGACGAAAGAAGAAATCTAGGAGCAATCCTTAGGCTCGGGAACGATGGGTTTTACGCGAGACTAGACACTAAACGGCAACGACATACATTATTCCCCACCAACGGTCGCGATCGACGGGCCTAGAAGTTGGGACACACCAGCATGTAGTTTCTGTGCTTTCGCTTGTTCATTCAAGCACGCACCCGCCCACATCAGCTATTGATCGGCATACACTAAATTATAATCCAATGTTTAACCCACCATGTAATGCATTACTGACGTTGCTCTTCTACGCTGGATTTCTGCCAAGTGCCTTCAAAGGTCACGTGTTTGACCGTCTCCAGTGCTACCCAGCCTCCCCAATATCCACAATACGAATGCGCTCATATTAACGCACTGCTCCTTGTTGCTAGAAAGCGGAAGTATTTATGCCTTTGGGTACTCTCAAGAAAGAGTGTGTTGCCACTTCCAGTCGCCAGATGAGTGCATTTGCGCAACTTAAGAACCCACATCCTTCGCGTTTACTAATTATCGAGCCTACCAGAGGCAAGCACGCTAAACCATCCTTGTGATACGCACGCCTTCTTACACACCTCAACAACAGCATTTTGTGAGAGAGTTTAACCTAGCACTTCATTGCCATTGGTATATTGACTTTTACCCACACACTCTCTCTAATGCACCCCCGCCTCCTTCCCCATAGGTTACGTGCAGCACCATCACACCGCACAAGTACTCTCTCATCCAAGCAGCTTAAGAGCACTTTGTTCACATCATGGCGTCAATCTGTCCATAGTGACCCTCTATCCCCAGTTCCATCTCACTACATACATCATCGCCATGCTCCGTATATCCCCCCTACTCTTCTCTTCTGTCATGCTAGTAGACCTCGTCCTAGCCCTCACACTCACCTCGCTCTTCGCATCCGCATACCCCGACCGCTTCCGTACCGCCCTATGGCAAAACGGCGGCTCAGAAGGTTGGAACTCGGATCCCCAGCAGCGCGTGTACGACTATGCCAACTACCGCGAGTCACTTCCCATACCGTTGATTTGGGATCAAAGGTACGTCTCACGTCACTGGCCTCATACGCAGTATGTGTGTGTACTGGAAGCTGACACAGCAAGCAGTTCGACAGTGTTCCACCTGGTGATCGCTGCCATAACGCTGTTTGTGTGGATCGTGCGCTTCCAAGTCAACTGCCTCAGTGGATACGTTCTCGATCTTCACGCGAGTATCATGACGAATGCCATGTACGATATGCTTCTGGTTGGGCTCTATGCATCTAGCACGGCAATGCAGAACTCGGGTGATTTTTCGGATCCTGAGCATATCAGTCTGAGGCCTTGGTATCTGGAACGGGGGTGTGAGGATGCGTGGAAGCGGACATGGGGTGGGTGTGAAGTTATGAGGGTGTCATATGGCTTGACGATATTTGCTGTGTAAGTCATACCAAGGATCTTGCATTGTGTTAAACACTTTTCTCAAGAATCTCTAGCTAATGTGATAGTCGTTTAGGATTTGGTACTGCCTCCGCTTTTTGACAACATGCCTGTATCTTGCGTACCAGCTTGGCAGAGAGCATGAGGTTCAGGATGTGTTGAACAATTACGACGAACTCTCTGAGTGCAAGGCCATGAGCTACACTCCTTGAATACACATCTACATGCGCATTACGACTAGGATATGGATACATTACAACGAAGCCAGCGTGACGTGCAGACTGGGGATCAATCAGATCAGCCTTTCTCAGGCCCTGGACTGTACTTCAGCTGCTACCAGGAAATCTCAGATTTGGTTGAATCACTGCCATTTCTGGCAAACTTTGGATCGAGACTTCGATTGGAATAGTTCTCTCCAATAGCGGCATGAGCACCACGTGACTGTGCAACACAGAGCTGGTCGACACGTGACCGTTCACATCCTTCTATGTAGCATCTAGCGCCTCGATAGGATAATTATCATAAGCGTCGCATGATTCAATAGATTATTAGAATCAACCAAAAAAACCAAAAAGCAGGATTTTTCCACTTCACTGATGCACCAGTGCTCCTACCGTCGCCGTGAACCAAGACCTCACTGAAATCAATTTCGTTCAAAGAGTTTACACATAGGTTTTAGAAGAGTAGTAAATATGTCCTCTGTAGCCTTTCCCTTGGAAGAAAACATATTCATGCTTGATACTGCCGTCTCTGCACCTTACAGGTTAATTTTGTTGTTGCTTTGATACATGATCATGGTGAACTCTAGGGGTCAGCGATTGTCAGGAGACCAGAGTGTATCGAACACTCTTTCAGTCTTCATGTACCGATTTTCAGTAGCATGGAAGCGTTAAGTATATATCGTAATTTCACGTGACCAAGAGTGCTGAGCGAAATTAAAATCATATCCGCCAGCAAGCTCTTCACCTCTACTCAACCATCTAGCATCATTGTAACACGGCAAGGGAATGGCAATGTCACCCGTGATTGTTTTATATAAAAATAGTTTGCAGATGCTCTTCATAAAATAATTCAGGTGGGATCTAACGACTGCAGATTCTGAATGTGATATCCACGTTTGCGAACAAGATCCTGCAGTCTATACCATTATGTCCAACATTTGGATCCTCTATGCCCTCAAGAAGGAGATGTTGATCCGAGATATTGATACTTAATCACCCTCCGAGAGGTTAAAATTCCGTCGGAGACTACCGGTGCTCAGACTGCCACGCCTTTCGAACACGAATGATTCCGGTTCACTATTCATGAAGTCTGGATACCAATTCTGCAGCCAGCCAAGGGACTAGAGCGGGGCGATCTTTTTTGCCTTCTATAAGATAGGGAGTATAATGTACAAGGGAAGGCTTTGGAGAGGACTAGCGGTAGCTTACCAATAAAGTTTGTCGGCTTGTTCTCTCCTGGTGAGTACCCACTCATGGTCGCTGACGCTGCTAAACTAGATGGGGCTCGATGCCTTTATCAGTTACTCTACTTCTTCACTCAAGAGTTCGTGGTCTTGGCTGCATAGTGCCGTTAGGTCCGTCCCTCAAATCCGGTAACAACTATTTTGATCAAATCTGAATCATGTAACCTTAACTGTCTGTCTTAGGGCAGTCGGAGTTGGATATGCACTTGGTTTCATATCAAGCGAAGAAGCTTGTTGTCATTGAGAGGCTCGAGAGCGGCATATCGGCAACTCCTGGTCATTTCGGCACTGAGCCTGAGCAACTTAAGTTCCGGCTTGAGAAATTATCTAAGATACTCGATATGTCGCGATGCTGTACACCGTAAGCAACATCCAGTCTTGTCAGTTCTTGTTACTCTCAGTTTTATTAACACTGCGGACATTGCGGACACCTCGGATGGTGCATAATATCATTGGTTCTACGTTCTAGGCTAACGAAGTCATCTCCGGGATGATTTTTTTCTATTGCACCTTTTCGCATGTGAAAGATGACTCAGCCATAAAGTCACCATTCACGCATACAGATTTGTTCCACGTTACCAAGGCCGTTATTTGATGCACGTCTTATTTGGATGTGATAAGGTGAGACTAGAAGAGACTAAGTCAGACAACGCACAGCAACAACAAGGAGCAATGCATCACGTAAGTAGTCCCGCATCACCTGTGAACGCGTCGGTCTCTTCTCCGAGTACCCAAATGACGTGGTTTAGTTCAGAAGTTAGTACGAAAAGATATTAAGAGCCTACGCGGCAGACCGGACATCCGTGAGCGCGGAACTGCTCATCTCGGTTATTGAATGAACCAGGCTGCACACGTGTACGACGTCCGGTTCTTGACGAGACACACACACACATCTTCTCTAGACCACATGACTGATTGAAGACGGGGAACTCCAGATAGAGCCACGGAAGACCATGAATTGAAGGCCGCACCAAGGCCGAAATCTTCGCGCGTCCTAAGGCTAAGGGACAAGGGACCGTTGCATGCGTATGACCAGAGCAAATGAATATGTTACACCGTCGAGACATAGCACATCGCGTACACATCGCCGATCATCCGACACAATGCAAGACAGGATGTACCGCGGACGAAAGAAAAGAAAAACGCCCCAAAGAAGAAATACTCCCTTGGTGTTCCAGCGAGGGGTTTGCGCCTGAGTAGCGTACGTTTCAATTCCATCTTGCCACACTAGGTACCTAATAGTACGCTGAAACAAAACGGCAAAACAAAGAATACACGTTAGCAACCCCAACAGCTAAAATAAACTTGCTATGATCGAGATGAACCATAACTCGGAAACAATAGAAGAAGAAGAAAAAAAAGTATATCTCGATACTCGATACTCGACAGGATACAAGTGAGAGAGTGAGAGAGGCGAGGGGAAAGCGTGTACCTAAACACACAAAACTGTATTCTGAGGAAACCCCAAAAAAGAACCACCCACCCACCGCACCAACACTAAAAAATGACAACGCCAAAACACACCCCTTCCCCCAACCAATCCAACCCCCCCGCTACCCAAAATCCCCAAAACCCAGAAACCCAAAAAACTCACTTGCAGCTAATTTGCCTTCTCCCCTCCCCCTCCCCCCCAAAAAACCCCCCCTCAAACTCTCATCACCAAAGCAAACCGACCTATCACCCTTCTAACTTTATTGACTCTTGCGTAAGCCATGACGCCGCCGTCCAACCAAACCCGCATCACCACATTAAGTAAACCAGGGGGGAGGGGGGAGGGGGAGGGTCTGTGTCTCCGGGTGGTCAGGCTCACGCACCCCGAAAACCTCGCCTCACCTCTCTTCGGTCCTTCTAAGGCATTACTTTGCGAAAAAAAACGAGCTTTCTCTCTCTCTCTCTAGAGAAAGAGGCAACGGGAGGGGGGGGGAGAGCGCGTACAATACACACACACATATACTTAGACTTTAGGTCTTACTATTTTCTTTGGGGGGCGCGGGGGTTGGGGTTAAACGCGTGTGTGGCTGTGCCCCCCCCCCGGGGATCGCTGTACCTGGTACTAATGCTAAGGAAAGTAAAGAAAAGGGAACCGGGGTTAGAAAATTCAAAGAATGACACAGCAGGAAAAAGGGGACATGGGGGAGGTTGCTAGCTAGGCATATGTAACGCGTGCATATGTGTATGTGTGTGCATATGTGTATGTGTGTGTATATGTGTGTGTTGCTCGAATCAAGTTAATTCATTGCGCATTTGATAGTGGGGGGGGAAGGGAAAAGGGAAAGGGTTAATGATGACTGATTGCTTGGTAAGAAAAGGTGAGATTGATAAAGTAAAGCCGCCCCGGGAGGGGCGCATGGGCTGGAAAAAGGGCTGAAAAAGGGTGCACGCACGCGTGCGCGCGCGCGCGAAAGAAGATGAGGGAGAGAGAGAGATGGGCTCTCGTTTCGGAATATGTCGTTGCCGGGATGATAGTATGAGAAGCGGGTTAGGTGGGCGCCTCCACATACCAGGTTGGAAACAGTACAAGTGGTTTTTTTAATTTGGGAAGGGAGAGGGGACTTGGGTGACCCCACGTTCCTGTTTCGTGCATTGTCTCACGTGATACATGTGGTGCTTGTCTGCCTGTATTGTGGGGCCCAAAAACGGTGCACCTAGTACGTACTATGTATGTAAGTTTGTAGTAGCACGATAGGGCTATTTCTGGACCAAGGTAATGAAAAAAGATCCAAAAAAAGTCTTTCTATATGTTATCTGATCCTAGTCTGAAATTTAACCCCCAGAGTTTACCCAAGTCCCCGCATCTAGATTCCCGAAACAAGTACCACACGTTCATTACATCAATCGCATTGCGTGAGAGAAAATGACAAAGGGAAGTAGGAGAAAAGGATATGAATGTGTGAGTATGTGTGAGTGGACGAAGAAGAGGGGAGAGAAAAGTAAGGGGGTATTAAGTGAAGTATTGAGCTATGTGCTGTGTGAAAGCAACTGCCAAGCTTTCCAGAAAGGTAAAAAAAGAGAACCGCTGCTACGTAAAATAATAGATAAACCACAGAAAAGCGAGAAACTGGGGTTGGAAAAAAACTCAAAAAAATCCAAAAAGAAGACGCTGCATAAATGGGTATATTCCTCTTCTCCTTCCTTCACTGTCCTCTGACCCCATCAGAATCCTATCCTGCTTGGTCGAATGAATAAAAAAGGAGACGTGCGTGTGACTGTTGTGTACGTAAGGAGAAAAGGCTGCAGAAATGCAGGGTCGGGGGGGTTGGTGCCGTTGAGGTGACGTGTAGCTCGCTTCGATGGTATCGGAGCGAGGTTCGGAGTCACCTTGTTTGCGGTGATGTATGTGTTTTTTTGTAAGGTTTTTGTTGTTTAAAGGAGGGTGGGTGTGCCAGTGCCGGACCAGCCGGTCTGACAAGTTTGATGAGATATGTCTTGGAATATTGATTATTGGATGGTTTCCAAGGTTTAACCCCAGTTTAGTTCATCGCCCCATGTACCGCCCATTTCACGGTGAGATGCTAAGCTATGTTGCGAAATGTTACTGGGACGCCGCCTCATAATTAGCCGTGAGAATCGATTTTGGTGCTCATCTTTCGGCGGGGGTGGAGGGGGCTGGTCCATCTGGATACCGCGGTGGCTCGAGTTATTCGATATGTTGATCAACCTTGGGACATAACGGCGCGACGATGGTGTACTGGGGGCTTGCGACTGTTGCTGCTGCTGTTGAAGAAAGTTTGGCGGAAGGCTTTGCCGTGGGTAGTGCGCAAAGTTGGCGTACTGAGAAGTCGGTACAGAAACGATTTCCTTGGCCTGTTGAAAGTCCATGTACGACCCTTGTTGTTGGTAGTTGAGGAGGTCAGGTGTCGATGAAAAGCCCGCATTTGGCCAGCCCTGTGGTTGTGGCTGGAAATTTTGGGCCATTGGTTGAGAAAAGTCCGTCGACATCGATGTCATGCTGGTGTCGAATGCGTTGAACCCGTCCATGCCGGTTGCAGCGCTCATACCGCCGTGAGACATGTCTGTGCTAACAGGCCATTGCGACTGCGCCATCTCTTGCTGCTGCATCGTCTGCGGAGGCTCTACTGGGTCAATGTCCATCATCATTTGCTCCTGCGGAAGGCCGTGTGAGCTCTGAAGCCTGTTGTCGTTTCCAAAGTCAGGTGCCAAGTCAGAAGCCTCCAGTTTGAATTCCACCATCTCGCCCTGGCTAGCATCGTTCGACTCGGAAACGTCAGGAGTGGCTTCGCTTGCTGATTCAACGTCTTTGGCCTCAATCTCCGCCAAGTCGAAGGTGTCCTGCACCAACTTTTCAATGTCGAAAACGCGCGTGTCCCATTTCGTTTCGAGCTTGTATCGTAAACGGTTGCACTTCTTCGACTCCCATGCTAACGACGGCCAGTTCTGTTCTTCTCCATACCGTTCCGTCATCATCTGGTTCCAGGCGCTAGACACCTCTGGCTGCTTGAGCAGACCGAGCACAACATTAGTAAAGTTCCATTTTGACGATCCCTTCTCTTCGAAATGGAGTGCGATATGCTCGCAGCGCTCTTCCCAGGTAGTCAGAAGAGAGGCGCAGAAGCCACATCCCCAAGCGTCCTTGTCATGCATGACAATTTCGTACTTCTTCACACATGGAGATGCTTTCCTACTCGTTGGCTGGCCACTCTCCCTTGGTTGCTTGCAATGCTCACAGCCCTGTTTTGAATATTAGTCATAGGTCGCAGACACGGTTACTCAGGTGACGTACATGAAGCTTGGTGTGGTGCTCGCGGAAACGCTTTCCAGCATGGAAGATTTGCTCGCAGTCTGGACATCTCCAAGTAAGTCTTTGCTCGTGGAACTCCTCCTCGTGCGATTTCCAGTACGGCTTCGACTTGAGGGCCTTGTCGCAGAAGGTGCACGCGAAGTTCTTGGGTGCAGGCGTTGACGTGGTAGAGATTGTGGAAAGACGAGAAGACGCGGTCGACATGCGCGACGAGGCAGCGCTGTAGTGCGTGTACGACGAGTCGGTGGATGCGATTGACGAACGCGGATCCGAGAGCATGCTGGGCACTCTGCTCGACGGTACGCTCAGATAAGACGACGCACGGCTTCCAACGGTCGACATTGACGACCTGTCGGCGCCTGAGCGACGCATGCCATCTAGAGTCGCGTAAGCAAAAGGCAGGGCATCATAGATGCAGCCTGACTGACCTCCATTGCGCGCAACGGACAGTAACTGCAGAATCTGTTGGTCGTCGAGGTGCTTGAGCGCATTGATGTGATCGAAGAGCTGGGGCGCGAACTGGCTCTGTCCCGAGTGACGGGGCGACGAGGTGACGCTTTCGGTGACGCTGGTCAAGGGCGTGGAGCCTTGCAGGCTGCGTCGCGGTCGTTTGAACGAGTTGCTCTGCTGAAGAGTGCTGAACTGGTATAGTTGAGACTCGTCGGCCTCCATGTTATCCAAGTATGCGCGCAGAAGCCTGTATCATGCCGGAGATTTGGGGTTCACGGGCCGTGTTGGGCGGGCAGAGCAGTGTTGTCGCTATGTAAAGGGAGGCGAGTGCGCGCGAAATGGAAGCGTTCGAGAAGCTTTTGACGATATACGAATGGGTATAAGCTCGGATCTTAGGCCGTCAGGAAGACATTGATCGTCCAATTTCCCGGGCGGAGACGGACGGCTCTTGTTTAGAAGAGCAAGATCCGTGGCCTGTTTCATGGGTTTCAAGAGGGCACTAGGAGACTGTCTTGGCACATGCAGGCACATAATTCCATGGCTGCTGCAACGCCTGCTCGTGATCGACGCTTGCCGCTGCGGCAGACAGGCACACTCTTGGTCCGGGCGACTTTTTTTGTTCTTTCTTTGAGGCTGCGGGAGCCGGCCTGGTGGGCATGGCAGTACAGTCTTCATACGCAGCAGTGTTGCAGCAGCAGCAGCGTCGGAAGGCGACGCGTCAACCGCCTGATGGTCCTAAAGGGAGATCGTCGCGGCGGCGCTGCAGGGACCCCAGCGCTTCCAGCCTAGGGCAGCGTGCTCAGGGGTAATTTAGCACGCAACGTGAAACGCGCATCTGCTCGCCATCTGGGAGCTGTTGTACCGTCCAACCCTGCTCGATGCCTCTCCAACGCCTAAAGAGCGTCTGGAGCCGTCGCTTGCATCAGGCATGATGCAAACCCAACTGACCCCACCATCACCGATCCATCGTGCCGTAGCAAAAGTGCATACTCGGACATTGATCCGAGGGCGTCTCAGGATGCGTGTATGCAAAGAAGGTGGCTCTCGTGGCAGTGCAGCGTAGGAGGCTGATTTGGATGCCGCTCAGGAGACGGAGAGGGAGACGTCGACAATAGTTTGCGTCGGCAGAACAAATACGGCACACCTGGTGCCTTGCAACAGTATCACCCGAGGGCATCGACGCAGACGCACCACGAACGATAATGGGCAACGGGTGCTTTCTGGGCCCCACGGGTGCAGGACTGGCGGTGGTTTAGGTTCGCCGGGTGGGACTGAAGATCACGTGTTGCATATGTAAGTGTGTATGGGGCGCAGGCTCCCTTTGCCAGCAGCGGACCTGTCGTCATCCTGCCAGAGGCGAGATAAGGCAAGGACTCGTGCAGATCCCGCATAACGTCGAATGATCGCTCGTGTCTGTCAGGGAGACCTTTTTGCAATCAAGCATTCCTTGCAGGATCTGCCTAACTAGCAACCGTCTTTCTGGGGTACTGCTGCCGGTGAGGGCAAGCTGTCCTATTTTTGGCCCGCGGCAATGGTCCGCTCGCAACAGGCAAGACGTCTGTAAAACAACGACTACGGGTTGCTTGGACCATCGGCCTGCATGAGTCGAAACACGCGTGGTGTAAAGAGGGCTTTGACGGTCGCTCCATCAGTGTAGTATGTAAAAGTAAGCCGGAGATGCAGAAGTCATGCGGCACAGCATCCAACAGTACATGCGCGGCGTGTGCCTCGACGCCCTCTTGCCGGGGAAGCGTCAGAGTTTATGCGAGGGAATTGCTGGTCAAGCCTGCATGTCACCAACGGCACCAAGCTGTCAATTGCGAGAGATTGGCAGAATGGGAGCAAAGCTCAAGCGGGTCGGTGTATTCTGTGTACTTACTTAGTACAGTGCACAGTGGCGCGGGCATGAAGAGGCGTCATGTTTCACGGAAAGTCCCAGTGCTGGCATCGGTCGGTCATCGATCTCGGACGGGCAGCGGAGTGGGAGGGAAGCAATTAGAGAGATTGATTGCATGGAAGTATGCATTCATGCTGCCGGCGGACGACGGCGTACTCGGTGGCTGAGTCTATCTCAAAGCGGCGCCCCGCTCCGGGTGGGAGCGAAAGCAGAGGCTGGGTTGAGGCGACATTGAGGACGGTGGATGTCATCCCATGCCTTAAGCCTTAACACGAAGTGGGCCAGCGATCGAAATTTTGGGTAAATGGATAAAACACAAAAGTCGACGCGTGAGAGGCTAGGCCACGGATCGAGTGGCCCGATGTGCGCGGAGCTTGCCAAACCACCACCATAACAAAGCCTGATATGCTGACACCAAACATGCAATAGTAGGTGGACATGTGTCATGAGCGAGTGGTGGGTGGTCGTGGTGTTGATGGTGGTCAGCGAATAGGAGGGCCTGTGGCGTATTATTACATGGAGTAGTAGACCCGAACACAGGTCTGGGTGATAAACACGGTTGCGTGTCTGTTGGAGTAGCCTCCAACCGGGTGAGGCTAGAAAAGAAAGACGGTTGGCCTAATCGAGTATGTGTGGGCATGGTATGTGTGCTTTGATCATGCAAATGGCTCCCTACTGCGATGCGACGACTCGTGCAATTGATGGCGTCAAGCACAATGGGCGTGGTGGAGGTAGTGCTGAATCGAAAAGGCCCAATTGGCATAGCGCCACTTTGGAGCCACATGCGGTTAGACCGTTCAGCTTGTCGCGTCGCATCGCGTCGCTTCACGTCACGTCGCGTGTGACTTTGGGCAAATCATGCTCGCAGTCCAAGCGTGTGTGTATCTGCAATTGACCATACCACACTCGGGCACACGATTCATCGCTGTTCGTTTCTGATACTTACGAAAAGGTCAAGACGCTCTTGCATCAACTCTTTGGCCTTGGGCTTTCTCGCCAACCGTCTGCCCAACCCTCCACACGCCTTGCAACTCCATCCGATATCAACTTCTCACCGTTGTGCCCCGCATTCCACGACGCCGACTTAGTCAGATAACAGCCACCTGCCAGCATTGAACCAAGGCATCAACCCTTAGAGACAGCAGCGCCCATGTCACACTCACCAGCACGCGTGCCGGACGCGTCCGCAAAGCCCCGAACAAAGCTCCTCGCAGCACTGCGGAAACCCACAGCAGAGTCTTCAGAAAGCGAGGCTGAGTCTGAAAATGGCAGCTCAGCATCTGAAGGCGAGTCACCTGCTCCCACTGCCCTGTCGAAGCCCCTCACAATGGCAATACGCCCACAGTTGGACACAGACACAGCCAATGACGTAGACGAGAGCGACGGAGAAGATGCATACGAACTTATGAAGAAACGATTGGCTGCCAGCAAGACTTCAGCAACAGCCGGATCAGCTCCACGACCAGCAGAGGGAGGCGCACATGTCGTTGCTACCGTTGAAAGTAGCAATGATGAAGACGAAATGCCTGTGCGCGCTAACGTTCGCAAGTCGTTCACGAAAAGAACAAAAACCGTGAGCCCTCGTGCCTCACCATCACGAAATGTACGATCACAGACAGCGTCACCTGGTCTGTTTGTCACGCCAAATCCCTCACCAATTAAGAACAAGTCCAGGACAGCGATGGATGCTGGCTCCGATTCGGAATCATCACAGCCCGCACACAATGCAGATCTGCAAGAGCGAGTACGACGTATCCGTGAGGAGAGGCTGGCAAAGCAACAAGAGCAGGAGGCACAACAGAAGAAGTCCAATAAGACCACGCGGCGCCGGGCCGAGGAGGGCTCTGGAAGCGACACAGATGGCGAGAGCGGCAGACGGCTTACCCAACAAGCCAAGCCAACTCGAAAAGCAGGCAAGAAAGCCATGGAGGCAATGGCCCGGGACCAGCAGCGTATCAGTCGCAACATGCAGCTCACGCACCAGGCAAAGACCAAAAAACGCTTCACAACTCAAGATCTCTTCAAAAAGTTCAACTTCCAAGCGCCAAACACCGATGCCGCAGCGCTTCCAACACCTGAGCCAAGCTCAGCATTGACTTCTTCCGACGCAGAGGTGAACCAAGTGCATGGTGCCCAGCCGAAAAGCCCATCAAGACAAGAACACGAAGTAGAAATGCACGCCGTGCCGAGCGATGAGAAGACTGTTGATACGGCATCAGAGACACAGAATGGCATTCACTCTTCACAGTCTGCCAAGCTCGACAAGGGCAAAGGGAGAGCACCAGAGTTCCAACATCTTCCACAGCACCCTTGGATGAAACAAAAAGAGACATCGGTGCAGCAAAATACTGTCACAGATACAAAGACTGCTCAGGATGACGATATGGTGGAGCTCTCAGACTCAGACGACGATATGTCCGTGAAACAGCCAAAAAGCAGATTCCCAGTCTTCGATCGATTACCCGTCAAGAAAAAGGACGAAGGCGGTTCCCTCGTACACCTGCGTGCTCTTGCCCAATTGGCAAAATCACCCCCAAAGGTCAAGAAAGGTCAAAAGACTGTCACTCGTGGCGAGATGGAGCTTTTGTTGGCTCAAAAGGCCCGTGAACAGACTGCCAAAGCCCGAGAGGAGAGAATCGCCGACCTCATCAAACGAGGCCATAACCCCGAAACCGAAGAGGAGAGAGAAAAGCGTCAAGAGGAAATCGACGACATGGTTGCCATGCTCGAAAAGCAAAGACAAGAAGACCTAAAGCTCGCCAAGAGAGAAAAGAACGAGGCCAAGCAAAATGGTGAAACGTTAGATGAACTTCCATCTAGCGACGAGGAAGACGGCGATTATATTGGAAGTGGAGAGGAAAACGCAGGTGACGATGACGATGATGATGAGAACCAAGAAGAAGCGGAAATCGAGCTTTCTGGGTCCGAAGACGAAGAAACCGAAACTCTTGATGGTGCTGAGGGTGGTCAAACAGAACCTACTGACAGTCCGCTTGGCAAAATGGCTGATGAGGATGAGGTGTCAGGAGAGACGGATCAAACACCTCATGACGACGAAGATGTGCACATGGAAGATGATGACGTAAATGTACCTCTTCGAAGGCGAACTGTCAACAGAGCCCGCAATCGAGTCATCGAAGATGAAGATGAAAGCGACACAGAAACCGTCAAAAATGCCACTCCAACCCAAGCAGCAACTCAAGACGACGCAATGGCCGCCTTCGGTTTTGGCAAAGCCAACGCCGGTGTAGGCCTTACGCAAATGTTCGCAGGCACAATGGCGGAGCTTGAATCGGAGTCTCGGTTTGCACCTGTTGTTGACACTGAACAAGATTCTCTCGAGTTCTTGCGAAACCTGCCCGAAACCCAGCCTACTGTGCCTTTCAGCCAGGCATCAGACTTCATGGTTCCTAACAGTCAATCTGTAGTGTCACCACAAAAGACCTCACGAACTAGCCCAGAGTCCAACTTGAACATGGGTATTAGCCAAGTGGTCAAGACTTCACCCACTTTCTCGCAGACACAACCGGACGATTTCGAGCCAACCCAGGACGCCGGCTTTTCCTTTTCGCGTTCGCCAGCAGGTCTCGCCCCGCCCCCATCCACAGTTGACACTGTCATGATGGCTGTTGCCGAGTCTCCGATCAAGCAGAGAAAGGGCAAACTTCAACGCGGAAGGCGGGAGATGACTGTAGAATTTTCTGACGTAGAGGAAGACTTGGAAGATCGTGATGAAGAGGAAGAAAGTGAAGATGACATTCAACGGCCACCCAAACCTAGCAAGGATGCCTTCAGAAGGATGCAGCAGGCAGCCAAGAAGGCAAAGGCGGCCGAAGAATTCGACAAGAAGAACAGCATGGCAAGGGAAGCTGTTATGGAACAGGCCGAGGAGTCCGAGGATGAATATGCTGGTCTTGGAGGTGCCAGTGACGACGAAGAGGGAGAGGAAGACGAAGAGCTGAAGGCCATGATTGATCACAACGATATCAAGGTCGACGAGCGCCAAATCGCCGCTTTCTATGCGTAAGTACAACTACATGCCTGATAGTTCATAAAGATGATTACTAATTCGTCGTAGCGACAAGACAAAGAAAGACGATGAGAAGCAGCTTGCCGAACTTTATAAGAAAATGCAAAGCAAAGGCGGTCTACGCAAACATGCAGGTGGCTACGATGGCTTCGACATGTCCGATTCTGAAGACGAAGCCGAAATGCGCCAGCGCAAGAAGCGTGCAGCGTTCCAAAAGCAGACAAACGCCTTGTTGCAGGACCAAAAGGTTAAGGCCCTCGCTGACGACGACAAGAAGAAGGCCTTCTTCAATACACTGGCCGACTGGGCTGACGAAGGTGAATACGACTACCTCAACATGCCGGAGAAGGAGATGGATGTGGACTCTTCACAGTCTCAGCCTCAACCACAAAACCAAGACGATGACATTGCCATACCCGACTCGCAGAGCCTCTCTACATCAGGAAACAGCCCATTGAAACGAAAGTCTGAAAGCTCACAAAAGGAAAACCGTCCACCTCCACACATGCGCCGTACAGCCGCGTCTGACGCACTAAGTCGCAAACCTCTTACAGCTGACGACGTCAAGCACTCTATTTCAGAGCTCATCGAAGACCCACGCGTTGTGATCCCAGACTCGCAATTATCAGACGCCGAGGAAGACGAGGAGCAGACACACGCCAGCAAGCAGTTTCCTCAGCGAAAGCCAATCATCGACCGGTTGACCTTAAGCCGACAATCCACAGTCGAAGAATCTACTGCAAGTGCAGAGTCAAACATGGCTTTCCATAACCCGATGCGTGTGGCTACTGCACCAGGCTTCCGCATGCCCTCGCTTATTCGCCAAGCTACAAGTAATCTATCAATCAGCAGTGAACGCTCTAGTGGCAGTGGTTCTTCTGCTTCAGCACCGAAGGAAGCGGGTGTTCGAAGAGGCGGCACCGGACGCAGCAATATCCATGCGCAAGCACGAGAAGCGGAGCGCAGGCAGTTGTTAGAGAAGAAGGAGGGAAAGAGGAAGGAGGCGCTCAGGAAGAAGGTTGAAGGTGGGAGGAAGAAGGGCATGAGGAGTGTATTGAGCGATCTCGGGGGTGGATTCGAGTAATCTTTCTGATGTTTTCATGATGAGGATTGTGCGGTTGGCATTTGCGTTTTACTGGGTTTGGCGTTCTCGTAAGCGGTATGAATCAATGCATTGACGAGCGTTTGGATAGCATTTCTCTGTTGGAGGTTTAAGGTAGTGTTTGACTTGTGGTGTGCGAGATATCATCGTATGATCATGAGTACTTAATTACATTCATCTAAGAATACTATGTATATTTCTCAAATGATGTGATGCTTTTCAAATAATTTGCCTAGTGGCTGAACTAGACTGTTACTTTATCTTTGGACTATTAACCCCGAAGCTCGTGTATTGTTCTTCACAATTCGGAATCAACAGTCATGATTGTTGAGGAAATTATGTGCTAACTTATCAATGTATCATTTCTGCGATATTCAATCGTTGTTAGAAAGTGTTGTAGTACTGGAAATTAGACAATAGACTAATGGAATGCACTATAAGCTATAAAAATATAGTAGGACTATGCAAGTAAACCTACAACGTGACTCGACGCAATGTTATATGCCCGCGTACAATTTGAGATAAGAAATTTCACTACAGCATTCACATTACTGTATGTATGCTCGATTGTTTGCATCTTAGCATGTGCAACAATACTTAATAAAAAACCAGAAACCATAGTCAATCTCAGTAACAGTGAAGCCCATATTGAGTACGCATATCATTGAAAAAACCATCTCCCATTAGCAGTCACTGCGATGAAAAGCTGTAAAAATAGTACTGTGCTGCAGTCACTTCGTATCCCAGCAACAACCCTCAAACGACTCACTCTCACTCTCATTCTCACTCTCACTCTCATTCTCACTCTCACTGCCCTATATCTTGCCTCCCACATATCCCACAACGACAAAACCCTCCAAAAGCCCTCCACTCAACTCCCCTCAACTCAACCACAACCATACCCATCAACACAAAACTAAACCATGCCTCTCTTTTCAGGCAAAGAAACCTTCATCATGCTCGGTCTCTCACCAATCTACCCCTCCCTCCACCATCGCTCCGAAACCTGCACCATCGCTCCGAAACCTGCACCATCTGCACCATCCCTCTCACCATGCCCCCCTACCTCCTGGCAGAGCCAGAGGCCACAGCTTCAGAAGCACCATCAAATG